GATCCCCATAGGGACCCCATAAGGACCCATAAAGCCTTATAGATCCCCATAGAAACCCCATAAGGACCCACAAAGCCCTATAGATCCCCATAGGGACCCCATAAGGACCCATAAAGCCCTATAGATCCCCATAGAAACCCCATAAGGACCCATAAAGCCCTACAGATCCCCATAGGGACCCCATAAGGACCCACAAAGCCCTACAGATCCCCATAGGGACCCCATAAGGATCCATAAAGCCTTACAGATCCCCATAGGGACCCCATAAGGACCCATAAAGCCCTACAGATCCCCATAGGGACCCCATAAGGACCCATAAAGCCCTATAGATCCCAACAGGGACCCCACAGAGTCCCTAAAAACTAACAAACGCCCATAAATCTCTGTAGATCTCTACAAAAACCACATAAAGACACATAAAACCCTACAAATCCCTATAAAAACCCCACAGGGACCCATAGTAACTAATAAACACCCATAAACCCCTATAGAACTCTACAGAAACCCCATAGGAACCCACAGAGAACCCATAAAACCCTACAGACCCCCACAAAAACCCCAGAGACCCATAGGAACGCACAAATTCCTATAGATCCCCACAGAAACCCCACAAAGCCCCTCACAACCCCCTTTATGCCCCCCTTTTTACCTGCACATCCAAGGTGGAAAAGTAGCAGAGCCGCGCCGCCTCATCCCGCAGGTCGGGCCGCCCGCAGGCCGGGCAAACCAGGTCAGCCACGGCCTTCTCCTTCACCCCGATGGTGAAATGCTGCCTGAAGCACTCGGGGCACAGGGCGCACTCGCAGCCCGTCAACCACCTCATCTGTATCAAAAAAAACACCCAAAACGGCCTCAAAACGCCGCTTTAAAGCTTCGCGCAAGCCTGCGATAAGCTTTTAACGCCTCAAAGCGCGGCTCTCCGGGCTCAAAATGGCGCCGGCGGGTCTCCACACGGACACAAAATGGCGGCTCAAAATGGCGCCGTCGCTATGGCAACTCCCGCCTTTCCGCCCCCCGTTACCATAGCAACTCCCGCCGTTAGGGGCGGTTCCCATGGTAACTCCCGCCTTTCCGCCCCCCGTTGTCATAGCAACTCCCGCCGTTAGAGGGCGGTTTCCATGGCAACTCCCGCCTTTCCGCGTTCCCACAGCGATTTGCGCCGCTCTGATTGGCCGGGTTCGTTTCCATAGCAACTCCGGCCTCCCGTTCCCGCCTCCCGTTCCCATAGCAACTCGCGACGCTCTGATTGGCCCGGCCCGTTCCCATAGCAACCCCCGGCGCTCTGATTGGCCCGGCCCAAGTTGCCATAGCAACCCTTCCCATCCCCATAGCAACCCCCCGGTTGCCATAGCAACCTCCATCCCCATAGCAACCCCTCCCATCCCCATAGCAACCCCCATACCATCCCCCCGTTGCCATA